TCTGAGGTAGGATCGAAAATGTGACTTTAAAGCCAATTTCTACTTCTGGCATGGGGGCTCAGACTGCAGCTTTATGCCCTTTGCTGTGACAGTGACGTGCCCAGCTCCGATGATGCAGAAGTGCTTCGCAATCGGGTGGCAACCCGGACCCCCAGCTTCACGTTATCTGTAGGGCCACACGTCTTACACCCTGTTCCTTACGTAGTCTAACAGCGCTTGCTTTCTGCACACCTCCTAGCTGCTGAGCATCTGCCCAGGCAAAGCAAGCCGACCAAAATGCCATTACGGAGTGGGAGGCAGGAGTGGCAGTGCTGCTTCTTGCTTTAATGCCTTTTTGATTTTCTTTTTCTCCTCATAGATCAAACCTGTGCGTCAGAAGGCGCGTTGCTGGAGCCTTAACCATTGCCAACGCAGGCTTAGAGGGGAATGATGTCTGAGTGGAATTGCATTGAAAATTAGGTTTTAAAAAAGGAGCCTTGTGTCTTTTAAGCGAGGGCTGCCATGCCACGGCTCAGCGTAGGAGCCGTCCCCGTCTGCAAGGAGCTCGAGCAGCGTATCACTCGCAGGACTTCGCTCTGTGGGCAGCAGCGTTAGCAAGCAAAACAAAATTCAATAGCTGTGTCTCTCCTTCTGGAGAACTTCTGAAGTTGCAAGAGGAACGCAGAGCTGTTTATCCACAGCAGCCAACGCGGGCCTCGATGGACTCGGAAAATATGCACCTGACCTTTGATGAGACTATCGCATCCTCCACAGAGAGCACTTCTCTGCAAACACCTTGGCGGCACAGGAGCAAAGTAAATAACACAGAGGACAGGCTCCAGCCCGCAGGCAGGAGCGCTCGGGGAGTGGTTGGAGACAGTCAGTCACTGCCCGGTCAAACATCCGAGGGCAGGAGGGGAGGCAAGAGCCGTGCTTCCCCCCGCTGCACCATTTGGCCTTATAACCCCTTACCCCTGTCAGCCAGGGACACGCGCTTTCTGGATCATAACCAAGTTTAAGGGGATTAGAAACGATCACGGCAGGGAAATGCACAGAAATAGTCAAGCGTGCATTACGGCAGCTCTTCAGCTCCTCTGTGCCTCTGTAGGTGAGATCTCAGCGGTGCAAGGGAAGGGTTTGGCTGCTGGTAGTGAGAACACAGCAATAACGACCAAAGGAATAAACCTGCTTTCTGAATTCTGTTTTTCTTCTGTCTTTGCGTCTTGCTGGGATTTTCTATTATCACTGAGTCAGAAACAAATTTATAGGCTGTGAGTATGATTAATTTCCATTTTGCACCTTGCTATGATCTCAAAGCAAACCATCCTGGCTCTTCGGTTTCTTGATGTTCTTGAAAGCAAGAAAAACTTTGAGCTCAGAGCAAAATATCCAGGCAGCTGTCTCAAAAAAAAGCCATGCTGAGGTTTCACTGCAAACATCTTAGAGGGCAACAATGAGATTTAGCACTTTGCCTTTACCCAGACCACTAACCTGCTCTGGTTTTACAATGTTTGGGGTTATACCAATGGACCATGCAGATAGTCTTTGGTGTATGCTTTAATTTTTATTATTTTAATCCCTTAGCAAAGGCACACAATGCCAATTTACACACTTTAGATTTACTACTGTGATGCGGGAGGGAAATATCATGTTCTTAAACTTATAGGCCCACTAACCTTATTAAGTTGCAAGGCTCGATAGGTTTATCAGCAAGCTTTGTGTTGTGTTTCATATGTTTTTCGTGGGGAACCGAACGAGAGCAGCAGCGAGGTGCAATAAACTATTAGTTTAACAAAGCAAGCAGGAGGGGAGAGGTGATGTTGTTGGCTTTGCAGGGAAGTGGAAGATAACGCTGCTAATTTATTCTCATAAAATGCAAATTTTATGGATGCTGGGAATTTTTTATTATGGTTCTTAATGATTCATATGACCTATGATACCTGCCAGTGAACCTTACCTGGGAGCAAGGCCTCAGACCGGGTGCTCTGCAGACAGAGTAGAAGACAGAAATGTCAATTGCCACTTGTTCTGTTAAACCTGATTCATCCAAACCTGAAGTGGGAATATCTTGAATGCATCTAAATCTCCATATACAATTTATGCATGCAAATCACAGTTGTGGTCTGTTAAATTGCATCCTGAACAGCTAGAAAAAATAAACTCGAAGAAGCGGGAAGCAAATGTGAGAGCTTGAATCTTCACTCTGCTCGTATAATAGCACTTCTGTGTGCCTCTGAGGGGGACAAACGCCCTGAGCCCAGTTCTGGGCTGGTGATGTCTCAATAACTCGTGCTCGCCTAACTGCAATCTGCATCGGCCTCGCGTGAAAGCAGTTTGTGGTTGCTCAGCTGGTCAAAGCCTTTGAAAAGGTGGAATCTGCTCTTGGATTTTGTGGGGGGAAAACCCAAACATTACTTGCCTGTCTCCTCTTAGAGTCAGGTGCTAAGGACCGCAGCCTGTCATAGGTGACTTTTAGGCAGAATAGGAAACAGAAAGCAGGCTAAGGAATTTTGCGAAGAAAGATCTTAGCGTGAGCATTTACAATACGAGCATGAATGAAATACATGCAAATCCTCAGGTTAACCATTATTTTCTTCCTCGTGTTCAGACCAGGTGCGATTGGTTTTGCAAAGCATTTGGGAGATTTGCTGCTTTCCCTTTCCCACCCCCTGTGTGAAACATCCTTAACAAGCGTATTAGATCATCTTTTTGTCCTTCCTTAGAAAGTCACACAAAAGCTGTCTTCCTATGTTGTTCAAAGTTTCTGTAATCTGCTGTTTTGCTCGAGGCTCCACAAATCTTCCTCCTGTCCGGGCCCGCACGGCCATCTCCTTGGTGTCCCCCAGGAGCTGCTCGGTGGCCTCGCTTGGTTGTCCTCTCATCACCTGCTCATGTTGAAGGTGCCTACAGAGAAAGGCTCTGAGCACCCCTCATGTCCAAAGCTTACGAGCTAGAAATGTGGCCAAATCCACTGTTTTAAAGGGGTATGATAACGGTAAGCGTAGGAGGTACTGACCAGGCACAATGGGAGGTCACCAGGGACTCAAACAACTCATGATTTAAAAAAAACCTAAGTCAATAATGCACTGAAGGTTACCCGGAGAGTCTAAGGTACAAGCTCCACATGGAACCTAGAAATCTTGAACTTTAATCACAAAGCTTTTCTTGTCCCTCGTCTTCCACAAATAATGTTGTGTGAAGGTTAATTTTGTATTAAAATGGAGTTAAACTAAACGCAGATACAATGAAAGCTGACGCTAAACTATGCTCAGGTAGAATCCAACCCAACATGCTTTTCATTGCAGCAGAAACACGGGCTAATCCGCTTATCGGTTGGAGTTGGAGGTCCTGTACGAGTTGGAACGGGATGTTCAATTCAAATGAAAGGATTTTCTCTCTGAATAAGAGGACACATACTGAATATGCAAATAGTCAAATGTTCTCTTGATGGTTTTTATAAATGGATTGCTTACTGTGGTGTTTAAATGAGGCTAATTTCATCTTATATTTCTATAGTCCTGTTGGTCCTGAAAAATCCTGAAGTACTTTACCAGCAACTACAAACGTGTAGTTTTAAAGTAATTTAAGAGTCATTGAATTATATCAAACACTGACGTGATCAGCACCGGCATGTACAGTGATGATGAAAAAATATTCAACCACAATCTGAGAACAAATCATGAATTTTTCTATAAAAAGTGTTAAAGCTCTTACATGCCACTGTATTTCTTCTGGCCTTATTTGAAGGCCTTACTGCTTTCTACCTTCTGGAATTAAATGCATCTACATCAGGAGGCTGAATGTTCCCGTTAAAGTTGCCATAATTTATACCAGCTCAGGTCTCCCCAAAGACTCACACAGAGTTCTGGAGCCCTTGTACGTTGATTTTTCAGTGTAAACGCTGAAGGAAATGCAATGTTTGAGGCTGCTGAGTCACTGGTGTGCATGTCTAATACTGGGTGACTGTCAAAAAAAGATGCTTAGCATTTTCGTTCTAAGAAAAAAACCCTGAGTTTAATGTTTTTCAGCATTCCCTTGCCTGTGTGGTCTAACATTCACAGACTTTGTGGGACTCCTACCGCTTTTACAGTACTCTGTATAAATAAACCACAGGATCCCCTAAAATGTTGCGCAATTAAATTATATATTGTGCAATTAAATCTGTTGCAGTAACAAATGATGCTCTTAGACATTAAACATTTGCTACATTGGTGGAGATTAACAGAATTTATTAATCCTATGGAAGATTTGATTGAATAAAGTTAACCTAGGCTAAGATATGTCTGCATGCAAGAGAAGGAATTAATGTCCAAAGAACTTAAGTTCTAAGAAAAATGCTTAAAAATTGGGTGCATTAAAAACTAAGCATGTAAAAAAAAAGCGGGGCAGGGGAAGAAAAAGCTATATATATAGTTACATATTGTTCTATGTATTGTAGCTGTTCTAAGTATAATAAGATGCTTTGAGGAACTTTCTACCTAAAGTGCACTTTTACTGTTTTTCCCTTGCATCCAGGCTTTATGAGGTCCTAATATGATATATTGGAAGTGGTAAAAAATTCTTGAAATGTGTTTTTGAAATCTTTAGACCTTTGACCACATTTGCTATGATGATACAGACCTAACAGTAAACCCACTTGAGAGACATTTTAATAGAACCCTTTAAACGAAATCAATTGGTAGTTTCATAATGGCAGCTGAATGTGTGTTCTTGCCATTTTCCCATTTAACAAGAAGAAAAGGCCAGACAAGGACCAATTAGTCATAATAAAATCAGCTTTGATGACATTTTCACTCCTGAACTCTGGTATAAAATGGTCATCTAAGAAAGAACTGAAAGGATATGTGAGGAATTTGGTAGTATAACTGCATGTACATACATACACACTCCTGAGTAAAAAATGATCAGGTAAAGATTACTTGGTATATGGAGAAAATATACTGTTTGTGGGTTTATGTGTATGCATGTAGCTTTGCTTGATTTTGTTTTAAATTTTAACTGATCTCAGTTTTTCTTTGAAGTCTATGCAGGTTAAACTTTGTTTTCATTCTTTGGATCTCAATGACATTTGTGTGCTCGGGTTACCCAGTTGTCCCTTCCATGGTAAGTCATGCTCCCTACTTACTTGAAGATCAGATGCTTCATTTCTTTTAAATAGCTATTTTGTTTAATTTTTTTTTTTGTTTTCTTGTTTCTTTGTTGTTGTTGTTGTTGTTGTTTATAAAATGAAAGAAGTTTCTTGTATTAAAGCTATTGGTTAAATATTATTACCTAATTTTCTTGGAGTATAGCTCAATTTTTGCTTTAGTTACTAATAAAATATGCAAGCCTCTAAAATAATCATGTGAGAAATCTATTGCATATTTAATGTAGAGTGTGGGGAGCTTTTGCTGAAGTTGAAATATTGTATGGAAAAGAGAAAAACATCAGTCTCCTCTCCATTTCGTCTGAATTCCTTGTCTAGACAAGGAATATATCAAATATATCAAATAGGTACAATAAGATATATGTATTAATTTCACGTATTGCTAGATAATTAATAAACCAGTAAATTTATTTGCCACTGTTAGTGTGTAGGTAAAGGAGAAATTCTTATACGAAGTTATGGAAAATTATTGCATAGAATCAGTAATACAAATTTGATTGAACTATGGAAGAAAGTAGAACAGCCTATAAAACCGAAGTGAACAGGTTACTAAAGTAATGCTAATATCCTTTCAGTTTCTGGTCTCGACTGGGTTACCAGGACAGATTGCTGGTCAAACTATGCATACACCATTTAAGACTTTGCCAACGTGGAATGAAATATTTTCTTTCTAATGATGTTCAATTTTCCTGCTTTGGACAAAGTCTTCTTTAGACTCGCTGTTTCTTTATTGCTGTAAAATCAGCTCTTGGAGCCATGGTTCAGATTTCTTTTCATTAAGGTGATCTGTCACTAGCAGAAATGGTGGATACTCGTGCAGCTGTTTATTTTATTGATGTGAAGTTCCCGTTAGCCTTAATCTGTCCATCGCCCAGTTCCTCTGTACGTTTTACTTCTGTAAATGCCGAATAATCTTTCACTTCTGATCACGGATAGTTTCGACACAGCTTGAACTGAGTATCCATGTTTCTTAATGGATCTCTTTATGGCAATGATATAATAGGTAAAATGAGTAAGTAATAGCCTACTGAATTAAAACTAATCTTAATGAAGCCAATGGCAATTCCAGTGAAGGCAGGTGTTAACCCCGTGGCTTCGCATGCAACCATTTCCCAAGCAAGAATGCAATACAGACAGCTTTAGAAATAATGCAGAGTATTTCTTTTCGATAGATATTCAGCAGGCTGGTAAATCATGGTATGATGAAAGTTGCACAGAACAACTATAGACATGCCAGGAAATGCTTCCTTTTAAATTCAATGCTAATTTAAGTGCAATTTAAATTCGTAAAATTTTTTTATGTCATTTACATTTTTATTCCATAAAGTGTAAGGAAAAGGAATGTGTACATAAACCTATATGGACTTTAATCCAGACTTTTTAAAATTCCCATTACTATTTTGTCATTATTAAACTTAGTCATAACTACTACCATAACTAGTCATAACTATCAGAAAGCTTCCTCTCCCAAATTTCTGCTTTACAGGTATTTTCATTTTCTCTTATCTGTCATTTAAACTACATGCCTTCACACCAGTGATAACAAGATGCTGTTTCATTGGTAACTGAAAAAATCTCATTTTACAGCAAGAGACATGCATGCTACTCTAAGGAAACCGTGTTACATGTCACAACTGGTCAACATCACGGAAAACAATTCATTTCATACCGTAAACATAATTGTAACAGTATCAGTGTTTTATACCAGAAATACCACACTTAACTTTTCTAGAAAGCTATGAAAAACTCTGATTTTGAATACGATGAATCCTTAGCAAATAACAGTTCATCCTTGTCATTCTAAGCCTAAATTGTTTTTGTGTTTCTGCTTTGCTTTTTATACTGAACAAGTCCTGGCAAATACACAAATCCATAATTTTACCTTTTCTTATCTCTCTCTTTTTTCTTTTTTTTTTTTTTTTTTTTTT